GAACTCTCAGCTCCTCCTGTACCATGCCTGCCTAGATGCTGCCATGTTCCCGCCTTGATGATAGTGGACTGAACCTCTGAACCTGTAAGCCAGCCTCAATTAAATGTTGTCCTTTATAGGAGTTAACTTGGTCATGGTGTCTGTTCACAGTAAAAAAAATCCTAAGACACTAATGTTGCTGAAGCTATATCCCTCACTTCTCAAACAGAGACAATTACCACTAGGTAGAGTTTCTGGATAAAAGGGAGCTACCAACCAGAGGCATATACACAGAGACACTTGTTTAAGTCCTTCTTTTCAATTTCTCTAGATGTAGCTGGAAGCAGAATTGCTGGGTCAGATCCTAACCCTGTTTAGGTTTCAGGAGAGCATATCTGCTAAATATTTGGACCCAGTAGTAAGACAGGGCAAAGGACAGACCTTGCTCAAATGCAAAGTAGATAACAGCTGGATTCTAACATTACACCCCTATACAGCTCCACAAGTACAGCTCCACAGAGAGCAGGGATTCTGGGAAGGAAAAGCAGATTATCTCATTCATAGGATAATTATTCCTCCCATCTATTTAGCATGGCTTATGGGGAATCAACCTTCTTGAAGGCTGGTCCCTTGGTGTCTTCATTATGCTGCAATTCTGTTGCTGCAATGAAGCACTGTGACCAAATAGCAAGTTGGGGAGGAAAGGGTTTATTTGGCTTACACTTCTACATTGTAGTCCATCACTCAAGGAAGTCAGGACAGAAATTCAAGCAGGGCAGGAACTTGGAGGCAAGAGCTGATGCAGAAGCCATGGAGAGGTGCTACTTACTGGCTTGCCCCCTCATGACTTAATCAGCCTGCTTTCTTACAGAACCCAGGACCACCAGCCCACGGATGGCACCACTCACCATAGGTTGGTTGCTCCCCCACCAATCAGTAATTAAGAAAATGCCTTGCGGGCTGGAGAGATGGCTCAGTGGTTAAGAGCACTGACTGCACTTCCAGAGGTCCTGAGTTCAAATCCCAGCAACCACATGGTGGCTCACAACCATCTGTAATGAGATCTGATGCCCTCTTCTGGTGTGTCTGAAGACAGCTACAGTGTACTCATATATAATAAATAAATAAATCTTTAAAAAAAAAAAAAAAAAAAAAGAAAATGCCTTGCAGCCAGATCTTAGGGAAGCATTTTCTCAACTGAGTGCTTTCCCCTGTGATAGGCTCTCAAGCCTTTCTTCTGTAAATTGCCTTAGTCATGGCATTTTAAAATGATCGATAGGAGACAGTTATTGAAAACCATGCTGATTAAGCTAACTAAACTTTTTAATCTTTTTATTAATGGCCTGATGGAGAGCAGGCTCCTGCCTCTGTAAAGTCTCTTGGGTCCTAAGCTGAGGGCACAGAGTTTTTTAGTTGGTGGTGGTTTTTTTGTTTGTTTTGTTTTTTGTTTTGTTTTTTGGTTTTTGGTTTTTCTTGACAGGGTTTCTCTATGTAGCTCTGGCTGTCCTGGAACTCACTCTGTAGACCAGGGCACAGCCTTTTTATGTTTTTTTTTTTGTTTTGTTTTGTTTTTTTTTTTTTTGGTTTTTCGAGACAGGGTTTCTCTGTGTAGTCCTGACTGTCCTGGAACTCACTCTGTAGACCAGGCTGGCCTTGAACTCAGAAATCCGCCTGCCTCTGCCTCCCAAGTGCTGGGATTAAAGGCGTGTGCCACCACTGCCTGGCTCGGGCACAGCATTTTTAAAGGCGAGAAAACCACAAAGACCATAATTTACATCAAAGTTGCATGAGGACCAGAGTAACCTTGAAATGTTCATTGCTGGTAGAGCACAGTAATTATCTCAGATATAACATGACTTAGATCTTCTTTTAGTTATTCTTGTTTGCTTTAATTATTTTGGTTAATACATCTGGACCACTGTCAAGGGCATGGAAATCTCCAGTGTGCTGCCAAGGGAGATGTGACCATTCAGAGGAGTAGGGCCAAGGGCTAAAAACTTTCTAAGCAAACACAAAATGGAGTCATTTCACGTTATCACAGCGATAGGAAAGTAACTGAGACACTGAATGACTCCACTTTATTTACAGCCTGACATGTTAAGATCTAGCACAGGAGTTCAGTTCAGAACAACGGTGACATGTAATTTTTAACATGTATAGTGTGGCTCACTCCAGGAACTCTTAACCAGTAGTAGGTAGTAGTAGGTGGTTTCAGAACCATGAGTCCCAGGGATTTTGAAAGAATTGTACGTATGTAGTTTACAGAACATTGCACCTCCAGAGGTTCTGAAGCAGCTCTCGAATGCATTAATTAATGTAAAGCAGGACATGGTGTCAAATGCCCTTAATCTCAGAACTGGGGGTAGGAGGGTAGCAAAGGCAGCCAGAGCTCTGTGAGTTCTAGGCTAGCAAGTTTCATGCCAGCCAGGGCTGTTCAATGAGACCCTGTCAAAGAAGAAAATGGAGGAGGGAGGGAAGGAAGGGGGGAGGGAGGGAAGGAGGAAGGGAGAGAAGGAAGGAAGGAGGAAGAAAAGAGGTGAAGATGAAGAAAAGGCCAAAGCAGAAGCAGCAGCCACCGCCTCTGAAGCTCCAGCAGCCCCAGCAGGCTGAACTGGAAATATGCTAAATAAGTACCTGGAAGGCTGAGACAGGAGGACTGCTGCAAGTTCCAGGTCAGCGAACTAGAAATAGTGAGTTCCAAGTCATCCTAAACTATGAAGTGAAACACTGGGGGGGAGGTGGAAGGGATATGTAATTATAGTTGTATGTAATTAATTGAGATATATATATGTATGTAAATATAGATATGGTTCATCACTTTCAGTTTTGTTTCTGCAAGATGATCCAGAGAGGTCCTTATCACTTTCAGAAGCACGCCGTGTCTGAGCAGAAGATGGCTTCTGGCCCAGGGTGTGGCACTGTGGTCATCTTGGATAACTGCCTAAGAATGATGCACAGAAAGATAAACATCTCGGAGATCCTGTAGCTAAGTATGGAGTGTGTGTGCGTGCGCGTGTGCGCGTGTGTGTGTGTGTGTGTGTGTGTCAGGGACATTTTGGAGTATGTTCCAGGAAGAGCGAATTGTCAGAGGACACCTTGAGTACATTTTCTACCTGAAACTGCCTCTCCTGCCCTCCCTCTCAAGGCCAGTGTGGCCTCTTCCCTGCATTCTCACAGTGTCCCTGATTGTCACGGTACTTCACCTTACCACGGCTTAAAATAGAGTCAAAAGAGAAAGTAACAACAACTCAGTTTAACTATCAAAGACAATTTGAATCTCTGATCCTCCTGAGCCTAACATTCCATCAATACAGGATTCCAGTAAGTGCTATTGTGTGGTTCTTAAGATGCTGGGAATCAAATCCAGAGCTTTATAAACGCTAGGCAAGCATCCTACCAACTACATCATCAACCCAAGAGTTTCTAGATATCTAAACACTTGAGGAAAGGAGGCCTCTAGGAAGGAGGAAGAAGGACACACCCCAACTGACAGGAGCTGTGCTTAGGAGCACTTCCAGACCTTGTAACACCCCATCTAGCTGTTTAAATACGATTTTATGATAAGCTGGCAAACATAAGTGTTTCCTTGAGTTCTGTGAGCCGCATGGCAAATTAGTAAAGCCCAACAAAGACATCCTGCAAACTCCAACAGCAGGCTAATGAGTCAGATGCTAGGGAAAAATAGCCTGAGGCTGGCATTGGAAGGCTCAGGCAGATCTGAAGGGTGGCGTTCTTACCTGTGGGACCTGCCACCACATTTGGGGACATGGTGTCAGAACTCAGTAGAATGAAAGGACATTTGGCCGATATCCCCTGCAAACAGGACTGGCTGGTGATGGAGAGACATGATAAAGGTTCACAGAAGTCTTCTATGTTAATTGTGAAGAATATCATAAAAACGACAAGTCCCCATCCCACCTACCTCCCCCGACACAGCTTTTCAGACCTTCTCTGCCCAGCTTTAAGATTAACATTTGAGGCCAGGTCTTGGAAAGGATGGCAGATGATCTTGTCTATGCAATTAGATGGGCTGTCTCTTGCTGTGTTGGTGAGGATCCCAACCTGTGTACAGGTGCACATGCAATCACAACCTTGTGTGTTCCTTATCTCTCCTATGGCTCTTTCATCAGAAAACAAAATTCTTCCCTGGTTATGACATTCCTTTGACCTTGAGCACAAAACCTGATCTCATGCTGTCTTCTGAGCCACCTAGGAGCTGGCCCCAGTTTCTACCTACTTACCTTTCACTGGGGTCTGGTTGTCAAGGCAACGCTTTGCCGGGAGCTCACCCTTCCAATCAAATGCCATCTGTGTCCTGCGATGCCACCTTGCTGATGCCCAGGGGCTGGGAATGGAAACCAGGTGGGGTTCTCTATTATCTTCTAGCTTTTCATTCTACAGTCTCAGTAGAGGCATCTTCCAGTATGGTATAGCGCCGTCATAGTTAAGACTGCTTCCTGAGTGTAATCCGAATCAATCTATCAATCTCACCTGCCTGGGTCATCTGATGCAGCCATATGTTAATGAATCTGGGGGACCAAGAGCTCAAACACATTTCGCATTTTCTTTCTTTTCTTCTTTGGTTTTTAATTAAAGCCTCCAAAAGAGGACAGAGGATCAGTGGGAGGGTATGCTTAGTTGTAAGGTTTAAACACACACTCAGGTGGGAGTGGACTGGGAGAAGCAGAGAGACAGAAAGATGAAGGCCTTGCTCTGAGGATGCCCGAGACCCTTCTGAAGGGCTCAGAGACCAGAGAAGCCCGACTCGACCCATTTAGTCTGATAGTTTGCTGTAGTTAACTCCTCCTCTCTGACACTTGCGCCAGATCTCCATCCCTAAGGAATCGCGGAGATGGACCGCGGGGCTCTGAAAGAGCTACCGAGGGGCGGGGCGTTAGGCGTGGCTTTCAGGGGCGTGACCGAGTGGGCGTGGTCTGGGAAATTCCCCGGCTAGGGCGGGAGCGGGCGCTGCGGTCAGCTGAGCGGCGCCTGGCGGGTCGCGAGGCTGCGCGTCACCGTCCAGCTGCCCGGTCGCCGCCCCCCGGCCGGTCCCTGGCGGGCGTCGGCATCCAGAGATTTGGGACAAGATGCCAACGAAGCAGTGACCTGAGAGAAGCGGATCCCTGTGGCCGGTGAGCCGGGCCGGGGGTGGCGGGCGCTGGCTGAGCGCGGGGACTCTCCCCAGCGGACTCCACTCCATCCTGGCAGCGGTTCTCGCTGTCGCCGGCTCCCGGAGCCTGCCGCGGGAAGGGTGACGAAGCTGGGGCGGCCCTCCTGTAGGACAGCTGTCCTGGGAAGGCTTCCGAGGCCCAGGCAGACCCTGACCTGGTGTGACAGGGCAGCGGGGATGGAGGTGGGGGGTGGGGAGTGACGGCCACCCCGGAGGACAGCCCCTCTTTCACCAGGATAGTAAAACACAGGCTTGGCTGGCCGCAGGTGACTTCCAGTTCAAGTCACCGAGGTGGTTTGAAGGTGACGTCCCAGGTTAAGAGTGATTAAGCAAGCAGTCAGTTCATTTTAAGGAGGAAGTGGTTAAGGTATTGTCGCAGGGAATGAAGGTAACCTGAATGAGGTCGCCCAGGAACAGTGAAGAATAGAGAGACCACCCCCTTCCCTTGTCAAAGTGACAGGTTTACAGAAGGGTACATAAAAGGGTACATAAACTGTTGTGTCAATCTGGGAGAGTGTGCTATAGCCATGCATGTATATACGCTGGGGGGGGGGGGCGGAGGAAAGGGGGGTGGAATGTGAGATAATGAGAATGAATTTAATAAAGCCGAGGCGTTTAAAGGAATTGCTTTTACCACGGCAATGTGTAAATTGGAGCCGTAAACAAGCGTCAGAGGAAAATGCAACCCAGCCCCCATCTGTCCTGCACTATCAGAACTCCTGTGTAGGAATGCATGCCAGGAGTATTTAAAGTTGAAATGGCAAATCTTATGGAGAACCTCAAGAAAATCACATAAGGCAGGATTGGGTCACTTGTGTCTTCAGAACTGAATCCAAAGCTGCCCTTTGACCCAAAGCAGGCACTTTGCTCTTTGACCTAGGGAGAGAAGTTAGGAGCCCATCGCCCCAGGGCTGATAATGAGGTAGATCTGGACAGAGCAGAGGTCACTGCCAGAGATGGCCTTCGATTTGATTGGACAGGGAAGTTTCGCTGTGGATCGTGTGCATATTTGACCTGTTTCCATTGAGCCGGTTTGAGCAGTACTTTATGTAGTGTGCAACACCATGCAAGTAGCTACAGTTTTTACAACTGGCCTATAAATTGTGTATTACATGTGAGGGAGGAGGGAGGGAGGGAGGGAGAGGGAGAGAGAGAGAGAGAGAGAGAGAGAGAGAGAGAGAGAGAGAGAGAGACAGACTGAGTCTCAGTCTTGAAAGGAATTGATTGTTACCTTCCTCCTGGTTAATATGGAACTTAAGTAGCACATACTTGTTTTGGCCGTGAACTATACCTACTAATCCTCAAATCTGCTTTCCAGAAGTTTTGTTATAGAAACTTAGCATGTTGATGAATTCTTTGGATTTTCTGGAAAATCAAAATCCAAAAAAAAAAATAAGCCCTTTAAATTTTATTATATTTATTATTTCTCTGTGTTTGTGTGGGAGAGCGGTCATGCATGTATGCATGTGCTTGTCATGTCGTTCGTGTGGACAGCAGGGAACAGTCCGTGAGCGATCCATGGATCCAATTCAGGTCAGAAGGTTTGGCAGGAAGTGCCTTTACCCACTGAGCCATCTCTCTGACCTGCACAATCTTTTTTGTTTTGATCTGGTTTTGAGAAGGGGGTCTCACTATGTCTACCTGGCTGGTCTGAAACTCATTTCATAGACCAAGCTGGCCTTGAACTCACAGAGATCTACTTTGCTTCTGCCCCTCAAGAGCTGAGATCAAAGGTGTGTACCACCACACCACCTCAAAATTTTTTTCTTAATTAAATTTATTAAAGTTTTCCTTGTGTCTGCTTTGGCATGTGTATGATAAAAAGGTAATAGAATATAGATATATCCAGAACCTTTGCAATGGTAGAGAAAAACATTGATATTGATGTCTATGGATATAGACATCAGAACCTGATTTTAAAAATAAGTTTTAAAAGATGCCTTCAAGAATCTGGATGTGAATGTCATAGAACTGCAGGAAACTCATAACAATTCTAACATGTGCGGTTTGTGCCTGCTCAGCAGAGAACATTTTACAGGTGTTAGACTTAAATAGACCTCAGTAAGCTGTGTTTGTGTGTCATTTCAATGTTTAACCCAGAGGCTGCTGTGTGACAGAGAGACAGAGAAAGACGGTATAAGAGTAGACAGTAGAAGACAGACAGTAATTGCTGGAAGAGCTGAGGCACCGGAAATACAAATGGTTCTTACGTGCTTGAAAGCATTGCTTCTCCACAAAATGTCGTCTTTGAGCTGGATGTTGAAATTGCCCCATGGAGATGTGCCAGAGCAAATGAGAGAGCCAGACCTTGCCAGACAGAGGGCACCAAAGAGGACACAGAGGTGCAGAGTGCGTGGAACCATGAGCACTTTGATGTGGAGTTTGTGGCTTCCTGACAGGAGGTGACATTGATGTCTATGGATAAGTAAGCCCAGAACCTGAAAAGAAATACAAATAAGTTACTTTCATAAGCCTCAACAGCAGTGGGCTTGAAATGAAAAGAGGGGAATGCTATTAAAAATCACTCAACAAGGACCTGGTCATTTTTTTCTTGTATGTATTGCAGTAGTGGGGACAGAGCAGTAGATAAAAGAGTTGAACATTGCCAATCATAGGCCAACTAAAAGCCCAAGCTTCACCTTTAAGGATGGAGGGGAGGTGGAAGCACTTTGAAGGTAGAAGTGACTGGGCTTGATGATTGCTTACATTTGGAAGAAGGGGGAATGGAAAGAAGGAAGCCTTACTGCCCGCCATGTTCCTGCCTTCAAAGCTGGGTTAAGTCTGTATTTTCCATGTATGGCATGGAGAAGCCTTACTGATAGCATTCCTAGCAAGCAACAGTGAGGTTTCTTTTACTCCAGAAGTAAGATGTGTATGTCTCCCACCTTTCTTTTCCAAGTGGATAGATAATGCGTTTAGACATCTGGTCCCGGAACCTACTCAAGCTCTCTTTAATTAGTTACATGTGTATATTTATTCCATCAGTATGGGTGTGAATGCACACATGCCGTGGCACCATGAGAAGGACTCAGGACAGCTTGTAAGAGTCAGCTCAGTCCTTCTGACATGTGCATTCTGGGGATCAATCTGAGGTGATCAGGTTTGACATGAAATGCAGTCACCTGCGAGCCATCTTCCTAGCCCCCTTTAGCCCCTTTTGTGAGTGGAAACTACAATTTACCATAGCCAGCTATTGGTTCTCTTTAGGAAACAGGTTTTCTTGTTTAAAACTAATTTACCAGGGCTGATGAGGTGGCTCGGCAGTAAAAGAACACTTTCTGCTCTTCCAGAGGACCTGAGTTCTGTTGTTCTTAGTACCTACTTTGGGCAGCCCCAGCTCCAGGGACTCCAATGCCTCTGGCACCTGAGGATACCTGTATTTACATTCACGTACCCATGTGGGAACACACATACCATCACATAAATAATAAAAATAAATATTAAAAAAGAAAAAATTCATTTACCTATGGAGGGATTGAACCTAATAATACTTCATCTGTAAATCTAAAAACTCCAGTGGCCACTGGATGGAAGTTGGCATAAGGCAGATAATGCTAGACACACGGCCTTCTGGCTGTCCGAGCCATCCTGTAGTGGAAGAGACAGCATCTGCTGGGGCACAGTGGGGGTGGGACTTGGCTCCTGCGTCCTGTCACTCAAGTTTCTAAGCCCACGCTGTGCTACCATGTATCACAGAAACCACACAGACATTCTTATACTGAATAAGAAGTCAGAGTGGATTAAGGCCAACTCAGGAGTGAGATTATGCCCATGTCTATAAGGTCAGGGCATTACTCTAATTACTTGACCTCCGAGTAAATTCAGGTGTACGTGACTAGGGACTCTGGGGACAGATCTAGGGAAGAAAAACTGGAGATTTTGCTTCCGACTTTCTAACTTGCTAGTTCCTGGTCTTTCTTGTTAGTGAAATCTTGACAAATCCTGTGCTCCATTGTTAAGTATCTTCTGTTTGTTTACTCTAAATCTGGGTTAGCTATATCCCCCAGGCTGGCCTAGAACTTCTGGCAACCCTAGCCTTCCTACCTAGAGCTGGGATAATAGGTTTGCACCATCACAAATGCCTAAAATTTTTTGGCTTCCTAATCTCATTCTCATGCTAACTTTCTTTCTCTCTCTCTCTCTCTCTCTCTCTCTCTCTCTCTCTCTCTCTCTCTCTCTCTCTCTCTCTTTCTCCCTTTCTCCCTTTCTCTCTTCCTTCCTTCCTTCCTTTCTTCTTTTCTTCCTTTCTTTCTTTCCTGTCTTATACTGTAGACTCCGATGGTCTGGAACTCACTATATATTCCAAGTTATCCTCCAACTCAAGGCATTCCTCCTGCCTCAGCTTGCCAAGTACTGGGTTATAGGCATGTACCACCTTCTCCCTCTTACTAAATATGTTTGTCTAGATATGGTACTTCATACCCAGTTGGACTTTTATGAGGAATTGTTGTTAGGGGGGACCTTGCAATAAATACTCCTTTCCAGTTGTAATCTCTGAAGTTACATGAAAAGATATAAATGTATCTCTGTGTTTGCTCTGTTTAATGTAGTTCAAGAGGAACTTAATGACTCAGACATTCAGGCACCAGTGAGTTGGTTTAACAAGTTAAGGCTTTTGCTGCTAAGCTTGATGATCTGATTTCCATCCTTGGAACCCAGATGGTAGAAGGAGAGAGAAAGGCTGTGGTCTGAGCTCCACATAGACTGCAGGCATAGTGCTCCTGTGCTGTTGTGTAGGGTGTGTGGTGTGTGTGTGTGTGTACATTCTCTCTCTCATATATACACAGACAATAGTGTATATACCTATCTATGGATAAATGGATGGATAGATAGATAGATAGATAGATGGGATAAAAATGTTTAGAGACTTTGAGATTTAAACATTCTGCTACTACATTCTACCAGTAGATATTTCCTATGTGCACCATATAATGATAATTCATATTGTTACCTTTAAAGCACTCAAAAATCTCAAAACATCCTTTGAGACTTCCACTATTACTAGAAACTACTTTTAGTAAACTGGCGGAAGGGTTTGAATGCTCTCATTGGCTGTATGTGCTGGCTTCTTGTTCACCGTGGCATTTGACTTACGGAATTAATTTTCCTAACACCATTTGACAGCAGTGAAACTAGATGAGTGTGTATCTGTGAGAGTGATCGGTGTAATGGCGGGGCTGGGGGGGGCAGGGTGGTGGTGAGGAACACTGAGTGTGCCTGTATTGAGGGGTGGAGATAGGACTGTGATCTTTCTAGAAAGTTAAGCATTTAGAGTCGTTGAGCTGAGAACCTTGAGGAGCATTATCTATGGATGAGTCAGTAAATGGCCTGTGGAGGTCAGGTGCCTCCCAAGGCCACACACAACCGATTTTTCTACTGCCTCACCTAGCAGAGCCCTGGTTTCGTTTTGGTTTGGTTTTTGTTTTGTTTTCAGTGTCCTTGTAAAATCTGAGCAAACTGCACCAGGTATAGAAGGATTGCTGGATCTGTTAAGACCAAGGCCCGCATTACTGTGGCTGTGTCTGTAGGCTGAGGGAAGGTACAGAATGGAGGTCATGGGGCAGAGACTGCTAAGCAGTATTCAGAAAGGCCTCACCCTCCCCATTCCTGTATCCTTCTTCCTTTGCCCCTCCCTCCTTCTCAGCCCTGTTCCTCCCTCTCCCTTCTTTCCTTTTCTTTAGATAAAACCATGAAGAGATAACTTGTTGCTGGACCTAAGTGTGGTGGCATGCTTGTTGTCCCAGCACTGAAGAGGCTAAGGCAGGAAGTTTACTAGTTTGAGGCTAGCCTGGGCTACATAGCTAGCCTCTGTCTCAAAAAAATAGAGATTAAGAGACATTAATTTATACATATAATAAGATAGAACTAAACACATCCTCTAGAAGTCTGTTTATTATATTTTTAAAAATCTGTTGAGATGGGCATAGTGGCTTATTTTTGTAATCTCAGCCAGCATTCAGCATGTGGAAGCAGGAGGATCACCATGAGTTCAAGGACAATTGGCTCTACATAATGAGTCCTAGGCCAACCTGGGCTATAGAATGAGACCTTGTCTCAAAAAGCAAAGATAAAAACAAAATCAAAGCCAAAAGAGTATGTTGGGTATAGGTATAGCTCACTACAGTGCTTGCTAGTATTCATATGTTCCTGGGCTCTGTCCCTGGCATCCACCTCCCAACACACGCAAATCTGTCAAATGTTTCTATGGCTTTTTCAGATTAAATACTTCCAGAAATTTTACTATTGCTAAAAAAAAAAAGCATTTTATGACATTTTAATAATATCTTCTATATGTATATATGCATGTTCACATATATGTAGGCATACATGTCTAGATGAATAACTGAAGGTGACATCAGGCACCTTCCTTGATTGCTGTCTGCTTTCTTTATTGAGGCAGGATCTCTTCAGTGAACCTGGGACTCACAAATTCTAGCTAGTGTAGCTGTGCGGCTTGCCTGCAGGATCCCATCTCCACCTCCCAAATGCTGGGGTTATAAGAAGCCACGTGCCTTCCTGGCCTTCTATGAGTTCTGGGGATCCAAACTCCAGTCCTTGTGCTTCCACAGGGAACACTCAAGCCCCTGGGCCATCTCCTCAGCTCCCTTCACTGATTTTGCGGGGCCAGGTTTCTACCGTGTAGCCCACCATGGTCTGAGGCATGTGATTCTCCTGCCCCAGCCTCCTAAGGCAATGAATAAGCATCCACTCTCACACTCAGCTGCAAAAAGAAAAAAAAAAAAGAATTTTATAGAAAGTCAGAAACAAGGGCTTTACCCAGAGAGGGTGTAGGGATGGCATCTTAAATCAATTCAGTTAGGTAAAACCTGTATCCACACAAGAGGCTCACTAGTGAGCAATGCCTGGTCGGTGTTTTCCCTCTGTGAAGTTACCATCTTCCTTACGTACTGCACAGGATGCTTTTCTGCTAGCCAGGTGTTCTAAGTAACGCTGTGACTCACCTACAAGTTCTTCTGTCTAGAAGCCATGCACCAGACCCTTGATCTTTGAGAACCCGCAGCGAGCCCAGGATCGCGCCTCCTGTGGGCAGCTCTTGTTCTGTGCATCCACTCTTGTTTTCATACGTGGGCATGAAGCGTGCACACTTATGTTATGATGTGGCTGCGTGGCAGGAAGGGTGGTTCTCCTCCTGCCAGAGCAGGGACTGGTTTCATAATAGACTACAACTCAGTGGAGTCACGAAGCACCTTAATCATGAGCAGCTGGCAGTCCGAGAGCAACGTCTTCTCCCCCAGTTAGAAATAAACTTGTGTACTGGGGCTGCAGTACTTAACTAACATGCCTGAGGCTTAACTAACATGCCTGAGGTTCTAGATTCAATTCCTGGTGAGAGCAGGCGAGCCCACCAGCACCTGCCCATGTGCCATCCGAGATGAAGAAGCCACCTGCCTTTTTTCGCACCAGTGGGCTCTCTGCTTCATCACAGTTGTGGAGCAAGCACCATTTGTTGCATAGATTTGTTTTAAATTATCTTATAATTAATTGTTAGAGATAAAGTTTTTTTTTAAAAAAAGATTTATGTGTAAGTGTGTCTGTGTGAGTTTGTGCCGTGTGTATACATGTGTCTATGGAGGCCAGACAAGCACATCAAATCCCCTAGAGCTGGAGTAACAGGAAATTTTGAGCCATCTGACATGGATGCTAGGAGCCAAAGAGGAGTGAGTGCTTTTAAATACTGAGCCATCTCTCTAAGCCCCAGAAATAATGCTTTTTTTAAGTCACCTCTTTGGACTTCAGTGATTTGCCTTTGTAGAATAGGGCCATTCCTGATGGGAATAGCTATTGTTTTCACAAAGTGTGAAGATAATTTTTTTTTTTTTTTTTTTTTTTTTTTTGCCTAGAATATGTGTGTAGCTAGTCATTGGCAAAATGCCTGTGTTTGCCTGAGTGGTAGATGATAAAGAAATAGAATTGGCATTTATTCTTCTCTATGTGTTTTCATTGACATGTCTGTGAAACAAGCCACATCCGTAGACATGTTTTCAGGATGTGCAGTAGGTAACAAGCTGCTTTAGTGTCATATGTGTGTGCACTGATGAATACCGTATCAATGCCTCCATAAAAATAAAACTTCACCCACACCTTTTGTGTATTTAAGATGGTGTCTGCATATCAGCCTTGCTGTGTGCTGCTTCTGACCTTGGGCAAGCTGCTACACCTACTTCCTCACAGTATGATCCAGAGTAGGCAGGGGCATGTCTGCAAGACATGTGTTTCAGCATATACTGTGCCTAAGAATGGCCAAAAATAAACATTACCATCCATTTCTTTTTAATCAAAGATAAAATATGGAGATCTTAATAGCTTTTAATAAATATAAAATATGCAGTATTTAATAGCTTTCAGTAAGTCTAAACTATGGCTATTTTAATAGCTTTATTGAGATCTAATTTCCAAACAATACTGTTCACTCAGAATGAGGATATTTGAACTTACAGATTTCAGGGGATCTAGTAGTGATCCTTCACCAAGGCTACAGATATTGTCTCTATCATTATCACAGCCTACACTTGCCACCTCCTTTCCAGTTCCACCCCTTTCTTGCATGGTCTGGTGAAGCTGGGCAGTGTTAACTGGATGTTTAAGGGGAACGTCTTCCCAGTGCAACTGGAGGGAAAGCCAGCAACCCTGGGGTTTACTACTTCTCGTTCCTAGTGGAGGCCTGTGGTAGACTAGCGACAGCTAGATCTTTAGCTTGTGGCTTTTCCGTAGGACCTGTTACCATGTCCCATCAAGCTCTGAACTGCCTGGCTGAGAAGGGGGACAGCCCCCGTGAGGCCCCAGGAAATGGACCCTCCAATATGGTTCGCCCCAGCCTGGATACATTCACCCCCGACGAGCTGCTGCAACAAATGAAGGAACTCCTGGTCGAGAACCACCAGCTGAAAGGTGAGCTGGACTGTTCATCTGTCAGTCTAGAATCTCCACTTAGGAAACACAATCCCTTCTAACGATGGATTGTCAGTGAGGGCCTTTCTCAGCCTGTCTCCCTAGAGGGAAAACAGCACAGCAAGACTTTGGGCAGGGCTAAGGGGGGTTGTTTACATCTGTTTACAGGTCAGACTAAAAACTATTCTGTTTAGGGGCTAAGAGGATAGATCAGTAATAGAGAGCATGCCTACCTTCTGCAAGGATCTAGAATGGATCCTTATCCCCATACAAAACAAACAAAAAACCAAAACCAAAAACAAACAAAGAAAAAACAAAAACAAGTATTACATCTCGGGAAATAGGATAATGACATTTACCCCCATTTAAAAGGAAGTATAGAGGATCTACTGTAGCTACAGAGTGTTAGTGAAAGCATCCTGAGCTAGGCTCGATGGTACAGGGCTGTATCCTAGCTCCAGGACAGAGGCAGGGAGATTCCAAGTTCAGTGCTTCCCTGTGCTACACAGCAAGTTCAAGGCCCTCCTAGGCTATATATATAGTGAAACTTTGTTTCAAGGGAGGGGTTATATTCTGATATCTCAAGCCATGGCTTCTCCTTATCCTTAAACTTTGTAATCAATGAATGATAGGACCCCCCTCAGTCTCCTAGACTTCTAGTCATTAACAGGACTTTATATCCCCAAATCAGTTTTTATTTGGGAGATTTTGTTGTTTTGAGACAGTGTCTCATGTAGACCTTCATGGCCTCTAGCTCATTATGTAGCTGACACTGACCAAGAACTCATTTTCCTACCTCTTGCCTCCCAAGTGTTGGGAGTACAGTCATGAGCCACCATGCCTGGCCTTTCTCATCACCTCTAAGGACTAGCAGTGATGTTCTAGTTTGTCTGTTAGCAAACTGCTCACATTACTGTGGTCCATTTCTGCTGACATACCCATCCCAGGCCACTCAGGCGTGTTTAGATCCAGAGACCCCGGGTATTGAAATCGCCAAAGAAAGGGGAAGGCTGATTCATGAGATTCCATCCATTCCCTGGTGGGTGACTCCCTCTCTCTGAACCCCAAACAGAAGCCATGAAGCTAAATAATCAAGCTATGAAAGGGCGATTTGAGGAGCTTTCCGCCTGGGCAGAGAAGCAGAAGGAAGAGCGCCTGATGTTTGAGATGCAAAGCAAAGAGGCTAAGGAGCGCCTCAAGGCCCTGAGTCATGAAAATGAGAGGCTGAAGGAAGAGCTTGGAAAACTAAAAGAGAAGTCAGAAAAGCCATTTGAAGTGAGTACACGATCCACCATGGTTTTATTTCCTGAATATGTATAGCTGTTGTGTAGCAAAACTTTTCCCAGGGATAAACACACATTTGTCTATTCACCCAGAGAGATCCCACAAAAGACCAAAGTATGGATTCCACAAAAGTCAAACTTGATAAACCAACGAATTTTGTTAGGGTTGCTTATGGGAGTATTAGTGAAAGGTTACTTACAGAAGCAGAAATGACTAAAAGGCAGATGCATCACCAAGGCCCACCCAAACATGAGTGACAGCTCACAAAAGCTGGGAACCCTGGAGTTCACTGCACAGCCGCAGGCAGCTCCATGGGTTGAAGTGTCCCTTCTAAGTTTAAACTCTGGTCTAAACCTCTTCTAAGAGGCTTGCCTGGTTTCTGCTTCTTTCAGGCAACTGGCTTCCTCTCATAGTCTTCTTTATACTTTTTTCTCACATTGTCTTTGAAGCTCAGCTTTCTTCCCTCTAAAGGGGATTCTCAGCTTTTTTATTTGTTACTTTGGCTGGGCAGGACCTCTAGTAATTCTGGTCAGTTTCAGGGAGTTCCTGAAGCTGCTTTGATTCCTTTGCTTTCCTGCAGGAAAGAATGTTTCTATCTGTAAGGAAACTGTTACACAATAGAAGGACAATCTTTTTAGTCTGGACTGTCAGATCAAAACTTTCCATAGTTCAGGCTGGACTGGTGTTTTTCATGGTCTTGGAAGCAGTGTGGTTTTGCTGGAAACACTGTCTGGGTCACATGTAATCTCTGTTGGGGAAGGATATTTGGAAAGACAGAGCTGAGGAGATGGCCTCAGCTGAGATTGCTTGCCATGCAATCATGAGGGCCTGCTCTCTAACACCTGTATAAAATCTGAATCGAAGACGCAGGTCTGTAAATTCAGCACTAGGGGCCAAGATAAGCAGATCCCTGAAATTTGTTGGCCAGCTAGACAAATCAGTGAGCTCCAGGTTCAGTGAGAGAGAGACCTTGTTTCAAAAAAAATAAGATGGACAGTGATCTAGGAAGACACCCAGTGTCAATCTCTGGCCTCCATAGTACACACCCACACGTGTGTGCACCTTCACACACATGTGCACATACCCACAGACAGATAAAGACTAAGGCAGGTGGCTCAAGAGTCCACAGCCAATCTGGATTACATAGTGAGTCCCAGGCCAGAGTTGGTAGTATGAGTCTCTCTGTCTCAAAAAAAGAAAAATATTCAGATTATAAATCAGTGTTTCATATTCATTAAAAATGGTAGGTGGACCTCTGCCTTAGAATCACCCAGTTTATAGTTTATATCCTTGATATAAAATTAGATTTTACAATGCTGAAAAATGACTCAGCAGTGCCATGTCACATATGTGACACCGACTGCAGGCTGCCATGCACAGTTAGGGGAAAATGGTCACATTTGTTTGATCCAAAGGTCCTGGGAAGGCCGGGCAGTGGTGGCACATGCCTTTAATCCCAGCACTTGGGAGGCAGAGACAGGAGGATTTCTGAGTTTGAGGCCAGCCTGGTCTACAGAGTGAGTTCCAGGACAACCAGGGCTGCACAGAGAAACCCTGTCTCGAAAAACAAAACAAAAAAAAAGGTCCTGGGAAATTCTTTAATCCCTGAGAATGCAGTCAGAGACATTTGCAAAGGACAAACCAGAGCACACTTGCTCCCAGCTGGTCCTCCAAGCCCCGGGTGTTTCATCTAGGTGACAGTTAGCCATTTCCTTCCAAGCCTCACACTTAATCCTTCAGAGGATGGAGGACTGGGCTGTTTTAGATACTAATGATTTTTCTTGAGAATTTACTCTGAATTTTGTTAATCTCTTCTGTGGATGAATAGAAATGGTAACAAAGTAAAACGAACAGAGAGTAATGGAAAGAGAATGATATAGAGTAACTTAAAGCATGAAAAGCTACTTAGAAGAACATTGTATCCTGTGTGTGTGTGTGTGTGTGTGTGTGTGTGTGTGTGTGTGTGTGTGTGTGTGTGATGCACATGTAAAGGCCACAAGACAGCCTCAGGTGTCATCCTCAAGAAGGCTAGCCTTCTCCTTTGAGACAGGCTCTCTTACTGGCCTGAAGCTCACTAAGCCCCAGGGTCCCCTTGCCCTTACCTCTCAGCCTTGGATTACAAGCATGCGCCTCTGCATCCGGAATTTTTATACAAAGGAACTATATCCCATGAGGCCAATGGCTAGAGCTCAAAGCGGGTAAATGCTTTAACAGTGGAGTTGAGATAGCTCAAAAAGGGTAGCTGCCAACAGTGGAGTCCAGATAGCAATCGGAGAGATAAACCATATTGGTTTTAGTGCAAATACTGGAGAACACCAACAGTATAAGAAAGGGCAATCTAAAGAGTTCTCTTATAAGGTGTTTTATGAGCAAATAAGTGGATTCATAATTTCCCACAGGTTACTAGGGGAACCTTAAGATTTAGAAGAACAAAATTACCCCAGTAATGTGAGATTCTAATGTCATGGCTTTCGATTCCAGGCCTTCAGACACTAGTTGAGAGCTCTGTTTCTTTCCCTTCTGCCAAGTATAATTGTAGAATATTTTTTAATGAATTTACTCATTCTTCTCTCATACAATATATCCTGACCCCAGGCTCCACTCCCCTCTCCCCTCACACTGCTCTTGCATTTCCCTTCAGAAAAGAGCAGACCTCCCTGGGACATCAACCAAACACAAACAAGATGCAATGAGACTAAAACAAACCCCCATATCAAGGCTATACAAGCCAAGCCGGTAGGAGAACAAGGGTCCCAAGAGCAGGTAAAAGAGTCAGAGACACCCCCACTTCCACTGTTAGGAGTCTCACCAAAACACTAACAAACAAAAAACCAAGCTAAACAACCACAGCATGTATACAGAGGACCTAGCACAGACCCATGCAGGTTCTGAGTGGGCTGTGTTCTCCTGGTGTCCTTGACTCCTCTGGTTCCTATAATCTTTCCTCCTCCTCCTCTCCTGTGGGGTCCCCTGAGCTCTGCCTAATGTTTGTCTGTGGGTCTCTGAAAAGCCTCTGTGATGATAATGGGTTAGGCACCAATCTATGAGTATAGCAGAATATCACTAGTGGTAATTTTATTGACTTTTTTTTTTGGCCAGTTGTATTCGGTTCTACCCTAGGTTTCTGCTCTTTACTGCCCAGCAGAGTAGCTGGGCCTTTATAGTTCACATTCAACTGCCTGTCTGTTCCATCGAGATTGAGAAACCAGATGGAGTAGAGCCCAGGGCCTGGATTAAACCATGGCTCTGAGGCTTCCTGGTTTGGTTCTATTCTAACTGGCTACTCTTTGTTCCTCATTTATTGAGTATGAGGACTAAGTGAGTTAATTCATGTAGAACACTTAAATCAGCATTTACCATGGATCATTGTATCCATTCTTACCTGGGAATAGTGCATGTAACCCTAGCTTTACGGAGCTTACAGGTGTGTGTGTGTGTGTGTGAAATATAATACTTGATGTATTTAGGCACTTAGTTGGGGCAGAAGAATTAGGAGGTAGAAGACAAGGAAATTAAGAAATTAAGCCTAACTTAAAAGGGCATTTGTTGTTGTTTTTTTTTTCTTGTCAGTGATTGGATTGGATTAATCTTAAATGCCAGTTACTCCCTCTGCTCTCCTTTCCTCTTCCCTCCCCACCCTGTCTCATTCCCATGACCTCACTGTGCAACTCAGGCTGGCCTCACATTAGCCTGAGCTTTCCCAAAGGCTGTAGAGTCTTACTCTTAGATCAGAACCTTCCATTGTTCCAATTGACTGGTGTGTTGTGTGATCTGAGAAATGGGTTTTGCTGAAAGACTGATTGCAATTTTAAGGATTATGTAGGATCTCTGTGGAGGGGAAAGAAATGTGTACTGTTTTCACTGTATTGGCTGGGGCCAACGGAATATCGAGGTGATGAGCCTGCATTTTGTGTTCTTTCCAGCCGGTGCAGATGGGACCCTGCCTAGAGTCATCCAGTTTGGGGTTGTGGTTTTAGTTTTATTTGTTGGTTTGTTTTTTTCAAGACAAGGGTTCTCTGTGTGGCCCAGGCTGTGCCAGAACTTGCTCTGTAGACCAGGGTGACCTTGAACTCAGAGATTACCTGCCTCTGCCTCCTAAGTGATAGGATTAAAGGTGTGCCCCACCAGGCCTAGATGCCTGGGTTGTTTTGTCTGTTTGTTTTTAAGTTTTCTATCTAATCCATTCTATCTCCTAATTCTCTACCTCCTAATTCTTCTGCCCCAACTAAGTATGCCTAAACACATCAAGTATTATATTACACACACACACACCTGTAAGCTCTGTAAAGCTAGGGATACATGCACTATTCCCAGGTAAGAATGGATACAATGATCCTAAAAATCCATTCTAGGATCATGAACTGATATATAACTGTGATCCCAGCACTCAAGAGGCCGGAGGCAGGAGGAGTGCCACAGGTTAGAGTCCTGCCTGGGTTATGTAGGGTTATGTAATGAGTTCCAGGCCAACCTGGGCTACATAGCAAGGCGATTAAATAAACAAACAACAATAAAAACAAAAGCCAGATGTGGCAATGGATAAAGTTGGGTTATAGGATGGGCTTTCTGAGTATTCAGTCTAGCTGAAATTCTGAGGGCTGGGTTCAGTGGGACACAGTGTCTCAAAATAATGAGCTAAAACTAAAATAAATAAAATAAAAATAAGGCAAGGAAGATATCCTGACACGGCCTCTGGCCTCGACTCTCACCAGCAATCGCACCTGCACACATGTGCACACACTATACACCACACATACACAAAAACAATAAATTTATGCTAGGGCTGGGGTAGAGCACTTGTCTAGCATGCACAAGATCCTGGGTTCAAGCCTAGCACTGAACAAACAACAATGAAGGCTGTAAGAATTCTGTAAAATTCACTTAGAGAGGTGAAGGGTGAAGACTCCAGATAAAGCAAAATCTTTGGTGTTCCTTGACAAGTGCACTTCCTGGTTCAGGCTAAGAAGGACTCCACTTTGTACTGTAATTTTGCTTGTTTGTTTGGTTTGATTTGAGACAGGGTTTCTCTGTATAGCCTTGGCTGTCCTGGAAATCACTCTGTAGACCAGGCTGGCCTTGAACGCAGAAATCTGCCTCCCAAGTGCTGGGATTAAAGGCGTGCCCCACCCTTCCCAGCTTGTTTTGTTTTTTGAGGGGTGGGGCTTTCTTTGCATAGCCCTAGCTGTCCTAGAACTTGCTCTATAGACCAAGCTGACCTTGAATTCAGAGATCTGCCTATCTCTGCCTCCCAAGTGCTGGGGTTAAAGTGCATCACCACCCACTGGGCTTGTTTAAATAAGTTTGTTCCTTTCATCTGAGCCATTGCTGAAGCTGTCCCATGGGATTCTGACCTTTCCCTGCAGCCTGACTCCGTGATCACTAGCACCTTGCCGGTTCTCCCGCTCAGGCTAATTTACAAAAGAGATCATTAACCCAGTGGTGTCACGGATTGTCAGGCTCATTTTTAGTATTTTGTGGACCACGTGGTCCATGGTCAGAGAAGGGGAGGAGAAATGGAAAGGCTAAAACTCAGCTCAGCAATGGTGAGTTCAAGTTTGGATTTCACATATTTAAATGACTTACTTAGAGAGTTTATAGATGGTGTTTAATCATGGTATTAATTCCTGAGGAGAATTAAGACTTTTCTTTAAAATCTTGTCTGAAATTTAAGTGAGTGTGAACCAGGTATAATTCTTGTAATTCCAGGACTCAAGATTCAAGCTAAGGCAGGAGGATTATGAAGTCAAGTATAGCCCAGGTTACTGCCTGAGTTCTTGGCCAGCCTGAGCTACATAGAAAGAGACTAACTCAAAAAGCAGACTAAATGTGTGTGTGTGTGTGTGTAGGTGTGTAGTTGGGGGAAGGAAGAAAGAGAGCATGCATGCACAATTTCTTGTTTCTCCTGAGTATTTCCACTTGAAGTTTGAAAGGGGAAGTAAAGCATGGTGTATTGTACACTGAGGTGTGGAGGTTTACTGGGAAAGGATCCAGGGAAGAGACCATGGAGTATGTATGTACTGTCACATTTTCCTGCTGACCCAAGAAGACTGAGGCCAGTACTTTAGAGAGTCTGCTAGGATCACTCCCCTAGTGATCAGATCAGTGAAGCAGACAGGTCTGTTCTCCCTATGCCCCAGAAAAAAAGGACCCTACCTGAACAGCCTTGTTCCCCTGTTGTTGTCATACATGGTCATTACAAGGGGGTGAACTCGACACACAAGTGTTTATACTTCACAGATGTATGATACTATTCAACGTGCATTAATGATCTTGTATAGGCTGAAATTTAACTTTTCTTTTTCATCTTTGAGGGTTTTTTGTTTTCTTCTCCCTCCCAGATTTACTTTTATCAATCTTTGTTATAATCTGGGATGGCTGCAGACTTTCCCTTATCTTGCCGCCACTGCGCCACATGGCGCTCTTGGTGCTCTGGCTTCTGGCTGCGCAAATGACTGGGGGGACATAGAGATACGTGGGGACATGTGAGTGTGGGGAGGAGAAAAAAAAGGTGGAGGCTGACCTTTAACAGATCTTGTTCTTGTTTTCTGAAATTTTGAACTACAGCATCTGAGTCTACCATTGTCAAAGTCTGGTTGGTTCTTTTTATGATTTTAACTCCTTATCCCAGCATGCGGTGGAAGCTTTTCTTTCTTGTCATTAAGTTATCCTGAATTTCTTTTCCTGGCATGTACGGCTCTGTGGATTGAACACATTTGAGATGAGCTAACACTGGGCTGTATCACTAGCCCTCACATTCTCATTTTTAAATAGTGTATCAAAATAAGTTGTTAAATAACAAGGAGAACCTTCTACTTAAAGCATAGGGGACAAAGATGTTAGAAAATTGCCTTTTCTACAAACAGGCATGGGGCTGGAGATGTAGCTCAGCCAAGGAACTGCTGAGAACCTGAACTTAATCTCCAGAACATACATGAGAAGGCCAGGCATGGTGATGTGTGTGTCTAATCCCAGTGCTGGGGTTGCAAAGACAGGCAGGTTCCTGGGCTCACTGGCTAGCCAGCTTAGCCTCCTTGGCAAATCCTCGGCCAATAGGAGACCCTGTCTCCAAAGTAGAACAAAAAAATGGAAAAGGTGGACTAGGTGGATGGCACTTGACAAGGGAGACCCAAGGTTGCTTTCCTCTACCTTTGCACATGGTTACCATGAGCATACCTACACACACGTGCACCCCTAACATACAAAAACAAAGTGGAGCCTAGTGGTGTATGTCGATAATACCAGCACTTGGGAGGTAGAGGTAGTACCATCCTCAGCTCTGAGTTCAAGGTCACCTTGGGCTCCATGATATCCTGCTTTGAGAAAGAGAGAGGCGGGAGAGGAGAGAGTGTGCACAACGCTGTCTGTGCTGCTTGGCCATCAAGTTTACTAGCCAGACCTTAAGTTTGATTTCATGGTCTTCCCAGGACCTCACAGGTGGCTGCAGGTTTCCCAGAACTGACTTTGAGCGGGAAGTGGAGAAGCTTAAGACCCAGGTGGAGCAGGAGGTGGAGCATCTGAAGATCCAGGTGATGCGCCTTCAGGCTGAGAAGGCGGACCTGTTGAGCATTGTCTCAGAGCTGCAGCTCAAACTCAACTCCGCCGGCTCCTCGGAAGACTCCTTCGTTGAGATCAGGATGACTGTAAGAGTTGTGGTTCTTTCTCTATGAAACAAATGTCCAAGCCCCCTCTAGACATAAGAAACACAACACCTGAATGTGTTGTCAACACAGCCGATCCAAAGAGTGAGATTTCAGTGTAGCATGATGCTTAACAAAGGTTGTCTTAACTGAAAAATATATTACTCAGCTTTTTGATGAAAGATAAAGTCCCCACCTTAATCACGTCCTCCCAAGTTGGACATTTTTCGGACTTATTTGAAAACAGAATGTTCCAAACAAAAACCATAAGTATAAACTCTCTCTTTTTTTTTTTCAAGACCAAGTTGTATAGAATTGTGAGACGAAAAGTGAGCAGAGTTGTGACCAGATGTTTGGATGGCTTTTAAACAGCTTGACTTATTTTTACACAAGTGCCGTGAAACTGCATGGAGGTCAGAGAGTACCTTGCAGGGATTGGTTTTCTCCTACGATACGGGTCCAGGGAGTTGAACTCAGGTCATCAGCCTTCGTGACAAGTGTCTTAACTCTGAGCCATCTCACCAGCTCTGAAACTGTGTTTAACTGTGTTTAATAGACTCTTTCCAAAGTCTAGTGAGGAAGGATGGTAATAACTGACAAGGGGGGAGGGGGCACCCTCTCAGAGGCAAAGGGGAGGGGGACTGGGAGAGGGGCAACGTCTGGAATGTAAATAAACAAAATAATTAACTTAAAAACTAAGAGGGCCTGGAAGCATGGCTCAGCAGAAGAAGGTGTTTGCCACCTAAGCTTGGGCTCTAGAACCCACATAGAGGGGGGAAAGGAGCCCACTGACCTCCCAGGGTTCTCACCTGACCTTGCACCTGCTCCATGGCACAAGCACCCACACCCCCCCCCACACACACACATACAAATAGTAATAATAAATAACATTTCAGTGATTAAAAAGGACTGGCTGTGTAGCTTAATTGGTAAGAGTGCTTGCTTGCAAATTGGACATAGGAAGCAAGCTTGAAAGCCTCCAGGGGCCACGTGAAACAATTACCACAATTTGCTGTCAGCACAGCTAAGCCAAATAATGAGGAGTAAGAATGTAACAGAGATAACGTGCCTATTAAATTTTGCCAAGCCAGCTGCCACTACAAACTCACCTGCAGTTCTGACTTGTTAGGGAATCAGAGGCCAAGACGAAGGCTGACAGGATTTGCGAGCTGGTTATATTTCAATAAGCTAATGGAGCAAACCTTCACAGAAGCACAAGACGGTTCTGGATGTTTTGGCCACACTCCTCCTAAACCACAGAGTTCTCCAGCCCATAGAAGCAAAGCGAAGCTCATTCACACTCACAGTAACTACCACTTATCTGGGAGGCAGCCTAGGATGCTAACCCTGGGAGGAGACTCATTTGGAAACTCATTTATTCTTAAGTGGATAGTGACCGATAAGGGTTGTCCTAGTTGTATGTGATGGGTGCAGTAAAGGAACATTGAAATGGATACTTCCATTATTAGGAAGAAGGGTTTTATTGTGAATAAGAGAAAATAGCCAGAGGTATCTGGAAGAGTCCAGATCAAAGAGGCAAAGAAGCAGACTGGACTGGCCAGGGCTATCTGCAAGAGAAGGGAAATGGGTGGGTAGATGGGGGCATGTGGAAATCATGTGGATTATAAGGAGGGGGGAGAGGAGTGGCAGAAGGGAAGCCAAGCTAGGGCAGGCCTGGGAGTTTAGGGAAGGGGAGGAGGGGAGCCTGAGGCCAGCATGCGCTTTGATATGCAACTACAGGTATATGTTATTGGGCAAGGAAAACGATTCCTTTTGGCAGCCAAGAACCCCAGTTCATAGGTTACTGAGGAATGCTGGCCTGTCTCTGACCACCAGAAATTCTTGTATAGTCTAGCTTCAGTTGGGCCAAGACTGTCATTTCTGGACATAGGCACTACCTTTGTAGTTTTGGGAATTGGAATTTCCTTTGAACCTGACATTAGCCATATAAGCCTGGCATGAGTTGAGACCCTGGGTCCCTTCCTCAGCACTACATAAACTGTGTAGGATAGCACAAGCCCATAGGCCTGGGACTTGTAGGCGGAGGCAGGAGCAGAAGAAGTTCAAGGTCATTCTTTCAGCTACATAGCCAGTTCAAAGCTAGCCTGGGATACATGAAACCATGTCTCAGAAAGAGGGGCGGGATGGCTGGAGTTTCGAGACTCAGCAATTAAAGGAATGCTGCCCTTTTAGAGGATCCGAGTTCTGGTCCCACATGGGGGCTCACAGCTGCCTTTAATTCCAGCTCCAGAGCATGACACCTTCTTCTGGCCGCTGATGATACCTGCCCTTATTTACACACCAGTATGTACATGCACATAATCAGTAATAAAATAAATATTTAAGCATAGAGGACAACTCTGGAGGTAGGTTGAGGAGATCTGGTTTTTACCTCCCTGCCAGAAGCCATGATTTAGCCTCTAAGAACAGAATTTGAAGCCAGAGCCATCAAACTTAAGTTCTGTGCAATACAAGTGGACTGGCCAGCTAAGGCAGTGTGCACCTATCCCCGAGCTCCTGTGAGGCGCCCCTTTTGATGTGTCCCATAACAAAGAAAAGCAGATGAGTAGGCACTGGAGGGACCTCTCCTTCTGTGCTGCTAAGAGACATCTGAAGTGAGAGGGTGGAACCACACCAGGACAAAGTCCTTCATAATAGCCGTTTCATTTCCACTTTGTCGGAGTTCTTATCTGAAAGAGGAAGAGATTAAAGAGAGAAGTGTACTTTGTAGATAAAGCCAGGGAGTGGAGAGCAGCTTCTAAGACTCATAGCATATTTAGTGTGGGACTCCTTCCTCACCACCTGCCCTGCAGGGCAGACCAGTCGGAAGATGACCCTTACTCCGTCCATTCCCTCTGAGACATTTAGGTGCAGTCAGGGTGCCCAGAGGAGGATTTGAAAAGCAAACTTCTCTAGAAGTGACAGGAGATGACTGAAGCACAGAGTTCTAGCCCTGTCAATGGCTAATAAAAGTCAGGAAACCCAGACATTTTATCAAAAGTTTCCAAACACTGCTTTTCCCAGGGTTAGCATCATCGGCTGCCTCCCAGATGAGTGACAGTTACTGCGAGTGCAAATGTGCTTCACTTTGTTTCTGTGGGCTGGAGAACTCTGTGGCTTAGGAAGAGTGTAGCCACAGCATCCTGGGGAACCGTCTTTGTGCATTTGTGAAGGCTTGCTCCATTAGCTTATTGAAATATAACCAGCTCGCAAATCCTGTCAGCCTTAGGGTGTAGGCTTTGGTTCCCTAACAGGCCACTGGTGCAGGCAAACATACAATGGCCACCAGCTTGGCAAAGGCATTGCCTTGTAGGCCAAATCCATGTTTATGGAGTCAGATTGAACGTATTCCAATGCAGGAGACTGACCTTCATACCTTAGCTTAGATATTTATAATCCTGACAGGGAGTGCAGGCCCTGGGGAGAGTGTTTTCTGTTTCATTTGAGTGACCCAATTTAGATCCTATCTCATACAAAGGCTGAGTGAGTATTTTCCTTGGATGGAAACTTTTGTCTTTTTCTTTTGAAAGGGCATCTGGCTTGCAGATCTGTGGTGCTCAGTCCCTTTCATCTCTGCTTTTACAGGAAGGAGAGACTGAAGGGACAATGAAGGAGATGAACGGCCCTAGACCCACAAGAACAGACTCCATCAGCATGTAGGTGATGGGACTCCAGTATCTTGTTACTTTGAGCCGGTCACTGGGGATCCAACGTGACGAAGAAAAGCTTACTTTGCTTTTTGAGGCAGGGTCTTGCTTTGTGATCTAGGTTTGATTTGAACCTGCAACCACCCTCTGCCTTAGCTTCCCAAGTGCTAACATTCATTTTCAATGGTATTTAATGTCGCGACTCAGACTGGCAGAGAATAGAAACAAAGTCCAGTGCCCTTTAAAAGCTGACAAATGCCGACTTCTCTGTTACAGAGGTGTTTGCTCTCCGTTATAAGTGGAAACACATTCATCCTCAATCAAAAAGAGACTTGTTCCTAGTCAGCAGTCCTGTACTGGCTCATTTGTCAGGGCTGCTGGGACTAAACAGGCTGCTGGGCTTCCTTAAGTGGGGCACACCCTTTTACTTTCCCTATTCTAATTATCAGCCACAGTAACTGATGCTGGTGCTCTTCTGAGGCAATGGCTATGAGAACTGTCAATGTGTATGTGTATGTATGTGTGTTTGTATGTATGTGCATGTATGTGTATATTATGATGGAGAGGAACATGCCATATACATAAGGAAGCCACAGGACAGCAGCAGCAGTTCTTGACCCATGGGTTGCAACCCCTTTGGCAAACCTCTATCTCCATTTATGATTTACATTTATGATTCACAATAATAGCAAAGTACGGTTATGAAGTAGCAATGAAAATAATTTTATGGTTGGGGTTACAACATGAGGAACTAACTGTAACGGATCTCAGCGTTAGGTTGAGAAGCGGTGGTTTATGGAAATCTGTTCTCTGCACTATGTGGGTTCTGAGGATCAAACTCAGGCCGTCAGGGTTGACAGCAAGCATCTTTACCCATGGTGCCACTTCTTCAACCTCAGAAGTGCCTAGGCCCTTACCTGTGGAATCTCAAATCTGCCTGTCCCGAGCAGATTCTAAGGAACACATGATAAGTAATGGAAGGGCCTTGAGCAGAGGCAGTAGAACTAGGCCCTGAACTTCTTGGTTCTTGAAGGTAATATTACCCAGGGCTGGTGGTTTGCCCATCCTGTGTGTGTGCAGGCAACATTAGTCCATTTGCCTGTCGGCCTGCTCAGAATTTCTTAGTCACAGACCTTTAAGACTATTTTTTATGTTATTTGATAAATATGCATAGAGAATAACACAGAAAAAGTAATACAACGCTTTCTAGGTCTGTCCCTATGTTCTCAGTCAGGGAGAACATAAATAATACAATAGTCTTTCACCAAACAGTAATTAGTGTAACTGAATGTTATTCCTGTTTTTGGTGGGTTTTTTTTTCCCTTTGGGTTTAGAATTCAACTTTCCTCAAATTGCTGCTTTTAATAGCAAGACTTTCCTGGAAGCAGAGGAAACAAAAACTGTATTTGGAAATTTTAAGCCACTTCCTGTTCATTTATTTCCATATGCAGAGACCACTTCCTCTTTCAGGCCAATAGCTCTTAACCTTTATGAAGTTGGTATGGTCTGAGGTTTCTAGGCTTGGGGCTCCAGCCTAATCCTGGCGTTCAGATATGTGAGCCTAGCAGATGCCTGAAAGACTAACTGCCATCCCTGGTGTCTTCGTCGTCACTCTGAACATTCCGTTACTGGGTGATGGTCACAGTTGCTTGTTTGTCATGAATGTGCCTCTTGATAAGATTCTGAAACTTAGAAAAACATTTGCCAGTAGTATCTACATGTCTCTGCTTCATGTGAAAACCAAAGTCAGAAAAGTTTTTCTTCCCTTGACTCACAAAGGTGATAGTCTCTAAGCAGTTGCAATGGGCAGTGGTCTGAATGGACCTGAATAGTCAGCCCAAAGTTCTCTCTGGAACTGGTCTCTGGAGATTGTGGCATCTCCTGCCACAACTGCTGAATGTCCCTGTGAATTCTGTGGTCTTGTGGACACAGTCCCTCTTTGGAGTGAGAGCTTACATTATGAGGTTAGCTTCCCATTGCTAGTCTCCACAGCCCCCGCTGCATACATACAAGGATTGAATCAGCCATGCTTGGAGCAGGCGAGAATTGCCTGGAGGACATGGATTTCAGTTGTATGATGCTTCTCTCTTACTCTTGACATTTTTGTTGGGATCAAAACCTTTTTAATTTCCATACTGAATGTGGCAGTGATGTCTTTTTAGGAGCAGATGTACAGAGGATGCTAGGACCTGTGTGGAGTTTGAGGATTTGACTGTGAGCCAGCTCCTGCTTTGCCTAAGGGAAGGAAACCAAAAGGTGGAGAGACTTGAAATCGCTCTCAGAGAAGCCAGAGAAAGGTATGAACTATTTACGTGAAAAATGAAAGGCGTTGGTAGGTAAAGTAAGGCACCATGCAAGGCAATGCACACGGTTTTGTGCCCACTGCCACAATATAGTCTTGGGACATTTTCACCCCCACACAAGAGTCGGTACCCCTCATCATTCACTACCCGGTTCTCCCCATGTCTTTGGAGATCTCTGCATCCTGCACAGTTATATGTGGATTCAAACAGTACGGTCTTCTGATTTTTTTCACTCTCTTCATCCACAGTGCCCTGCTTGCCAGCCCTCTGTCCTTAAGGCAAGTGAATAATAAAGTAGAAGATGTGTATACTTGGCAGCTTGCCACTTATATATTTCTAATCTTTCTTCCTGCTTTCAAACAAAACAAAAACGCAGCTCTCTCCCTGGATACTGAAGGCCGTATAGCTCTTTAGATTATAGTTAGTGGATCAGGCCTGCCCTTGGAGGAGGAGTGCCCTGGAAAGATTCCTTTTTCGATGATATTGAGCTTCTATCTTATGAGCCAGCGGACTCAGTACTTAACAGGGCAAACCAGTAAGTAGTTGAGGAGACTTGTGTTCTCTGCATGGGGACCAGGGTAGTGGCTGGTTCTCAGGCAAGACAGGGCTTAGAAGTGTCAGGGACACATGGTCAGCGGCCTGATTGGCACACTCTGAAATCAGGTATGACACAAACACATTGCAAGATACTGTGTTTTCCTGAAATAAGTGAGCCAGCCTTCTGCCTTTCTCCCTAATCACTGGAAATAGGAATACGGATGTTCTGAATTTAATTTTTCTGAAAAAATACTGGGTGATATGTGGGAGAGAGGAATGGATGTAGGTTTGCCTTCTGTCTTGGTGTGTGCAGCATTCATGTTTCACCTCATAGGGTTTTCTGGGTTTGGTTTTTGTTTGTCATTTTGGGATTTGGGGTTTTATCTATTTGTTATTTTGAGGTTCTGTTGCTTTGGTTTTTTCAAGACAGGCTCTCACTATGTGGTCCTAGCTGGCCTGAAACATGCTGTGGTAGACCATGCTGATCTCACAGAGACCCCCTCTCCGCCTCCACCTCTGGCCCCCGCTGAGGGCTGGATTAAAAGTGTGTGCATAGCCACAACTGATTGAATTTATATTTTCTAAATCAGTAAGGAGAAAGAGGTTGTATAAGAAATGCAGCCTTTGTTTAAAAAAAAAAATCAAGAAATAACAGGAGAGAGATGACCCAAAGTGAACATTTGACCTAGAAGATTAAGATAACTTGTAATTCGTGTGTAGGTCAAAACCTGTGCCAAATGTGAACTGTCCTACAGTGTTGATAAGCCCACCCTCCTGCGAGTACCATCTGGTGCCTCACCCACCTGTGTATTCAGCTTAGCCAACGGGACAGTACCAGCATACCAATTAGGGTTGACAGTTTTCAATAGAAAAATGATAAACAAAAACGTCTCTACAGATGGCTCACAGAGAAGCACTGCCTTGCCAGGAGCCTATGGGGAAGCAGTGCTTTGATCCCTTTCACACCCACTTTCCTGCTTCTCAGTCACTTCCAATCTGTCTGCTTGGTTCTTTCAGGAGCTGCCCCCATGGATAAAGTTTAAACTGCTACTTAATTTTTTGAAGATTTTAATCATGACCTATTGACCTCTAGGTATGAATGAGGAAGACTGAACTGTCTTGTACAACCATCAGCCGCCCAGTACTTACATTTCTGGAACTTTCTCTACCTCCTGTTCCCAGCTGAAAGTTTTGGGTTTTACTCAAGTTACTACTCTGTTCCTGTCCCTGTGCATTTAGACACATGCATACAATGCACATGTGTGCTCACTCACAGTCAGGCGGTGTACTATGCAGCGGTCACTTCTCCTTTTATACTTTTTAGATCTCAGTACAAACCTTAGCCAGTTACCTCGTGTGTTGGTCTGTTTTCTGCTTCTTTAAGAGTGCTAGACTAGATAGGTTGTGAACCATGGAAGTGTTTTCAGCCTATAGTTCTGGGGCTTTCAGCAGAAAACAATCGCCTTTATCCCAGCCTTTATTAGGAACCCACTCCTGAAATGGTAGCTTTGATGAAGGCAGTGCTGCCACAGTGCCATGTCAACTAAGGGCCAGCATGGCGGGCTGGAGAGATGCTCAGCTGTCAAGAGCGTAGACTGATTGTTCTTATGGAAGACCTAAGTCCAGTCCCCAGCTCCCACACTGAGTGACTCACAACTAACTGACTGTAACTCCAGTTCAGGGATCTGATGCTCTGTCCTGATCTCTGTATTCACACACACACAGACACACACACACACAGAGACACAGACACAGACACAAACAGAGAGAGAGAGAGAGAGAGAGGAGAGAAAGTTCCCTTACCCCTCAAAAATGTCACTGTGAGTTTTGTATGTTTAGTTGTGGCTCCAAGTTTTCCCAGGGAGTCAATCTCTCAATTACATACCCTATGATTCAGATTGTTCTTAAGGTATCTTGGTTCCACTACATTGTAGTCATTCCTAAGACCACCCTTAGCATCCTATGGGATTCCTCAGCTCTCCTATGCTGGATCCCATTTCCTTGATCCAGTGCCTTTCTTACTCTCTGCCTCCCACCCCTTAGTAAAGTACACTTTATCTCTACTGACTTAATGAGAAAGAATAGGAGAGGAGAATATTTTGTGAGACCTCCTTATCCAGAACTCTCCCACCTTTATACTCATTGAACAGTTTGGCACTATGGAGCCCTCTTGGCTGGCTGTTTTCCTGGTGGCATTTGAAGGCTTTGCTTCCTTGTATGCTAGCTTCTGGTTTTACTGTTGAGAAACCCACTGACTGCCCTTCTGAATCTGATTCTTTTTGTATGGAACTTCACGGTGCTGTTTTTTCCTCACCCCTGCAAGTTCTTTGTTTATCCCACATAGTCTGAAATCTCACACATTTGGATTGAAGCTGTTTTTCATTCATTTGTTCTAGACACAATTGAACCCCTCTCATTCTCCAAACTCCTGATCTTCTGACCTTATAAAACAATTTCAAATTAATGTAGGGATGGATTATCTCTTAACTTTGTCCTTTTTCATTTTTCTAGAACCTACTCTCATTTTGAGATAGAACTAGTCATGTAATTTTCTTTCTGTTTCATTTTTGTTTATTTGCTTGTTTGTTTTGGGTTTGTTCTGTTTTTTCGAGAAAAGGGTTTCTCTGTGTAGCCTTGGCTGTCCTGGAACTCACTCTGTAGATGACTGGCCTCAAACTCAGAGAGATCTGCCTACCACTGCCTCCCAATGTTTTTCTTAACCTGTGTTCCTCCGTGGCCCCTGTGTTCTCTTACTTTCTCTCAGAGCTGGCCAATGCTCATTTTTTTATGGTGTTTAATGTTTATATTTTAATGATTGCAAATAACTCCTTGGGTCTCTAGGGATATTAATGATAATCTCTCCTCTACACTGACCTGTTCTGTCTTCAGTACAGAATATGTTTTAGTCCAAGGTTTTCCTCAAATGTCTCATGATCTTGGTTGGTGAGGTTTAGGAATGAGGAGAGTTAGAAGCTACTTGAAGCTTTGGGAGCAGCTGTAGGAAGACTCAGTTCTTTGGCAAGGCTATATCTAAAGCTTTTAAATGTTTTCCCTTTTCCTAGCCCAGTTCTCCAGAAAGATGCCTCCTGTCTCTTGCTTTAGATAGCAGGGTTCTTGAGAGGAAAGGGAGAGGGCAAGGGTTTCATCGGCTAATACAAATTCCTTTCCTTTAAGTGGGAAGCACAATCCCTCAACTGTGCTGAACATCTCTCATCCCAAGCCCCTTGTTTTATGATTTTCTAGCCCTTTATTCACCATCCTGCAGGTACACATGGTATCCCCAGTTCCCAGGCCATAAGGAGTTTCAATAGTGTGACTTATTGGCCCTTCCTACTCTCCCCGGTTTAGGATCTAGCTTTCTTAGAATAGTAACCCTCCCCTATTCCTCCCTGTACTTTCTGTTCACTGTTGCTGCTGCTGGCTCTTTGCGCATATAGGCATGTGGCTGTGTGAAAGTCATATTTGTAGGATTTGCAGTGGGAGAAAAAACTACATGCATATATGAAACCTATGTATATATATTTATGTACTAGAGATTGAACCCAGGGATGCAAGCCTGCTAGGCAAGGAGTCTCCACTGACCCACATCTCCAGCTCTGTTTTTGCTCTTTATTTTGATGCAGGGCCCCATGAAGCTGCCAAGGTTGACCTTGAACAACAACTGCTAGATCACCCAGGCAGCCTTTGAACTTGTGACTCTTTCACCTCAGATTCCCACAGTTTCAGACCTGCACCACCATGCCCAGCCAGTCTTCCACCTTTAGCCAGTCTCTCTTTGCTTCATCTGTGTGGAGATGTCTCTGCCCTGCATGTATTCATCTTCAGTCACAGGAGTTCTAATCAACATTAGGAGAAATAACAAGATGAGTGCAAATATAAAGAGACTTTGAAACCCCCGGCTTTCTCCAGGTTCTGACTGTGTGCATTCGAGTGCCTCTACAGCCGCTTGTCCTCGTGTGTCTAAACAGAAAGTAAAACTTTTCTACTACATTCTTATGTTGGTGGTGGGTTGTTTTTTTTTTTTTTTTTTCAGAATTTCAGATTTTGAAAAGAAAGAAAATGGCCATTCTGTGATTGAGACCCAGACAGAGGGGAGAACTGACAAAGAAGAGGACAAAGGCCCAGAGAGTGTGGGTACAGCACTTCCAAAGGACTGGCACGTCCCTGTCAGGTCCCCATTGGTGACATGGTTCCTGGGTTCAAGTCTTATGTTGCTATTTACCTTAGAAATGGAAACTTGTTTGTTATTGAATGTTTCCTACTTTCACTTATCCTGCATTCGAAGTGCATGTCGTCAGTAAGATGTATCCCAGTCTGTACTACGTAAGACACCCTCATATCACTTCTTGACCAGAGTCATCTCCTTAAGTCCACCTCCAGAAAATGACATTTTGACTGTGTCATGATGAGATGTTCTTTGTGGACATGGCTCTGAAACTTTTAGAATGGGAAGATCTTGGCTCTGTCTCAGCACCGGTAGGAACAAGAGAGTTGGCATTTAAAAAAAAAAAAAGAGTTCCTGAATAACTTAGAGATATGTATGCCCTTGAGCCTGAAGAGTTTTAGGCTTAGAAAAAGTTCCTGAAGCCAAGAAATGGTACTCACAGTAGTCCATGGAGGAGAGAGATATATAAAATGATCCTTT